TTTTTGGGAAAAAAAAAATGCCGGCGGTGCGAAACGTTATTCCCGTTGTGGGCGGGGGGGGGGGGGGGGGGAAGAGCGCTGAACATGACATTCTTTGAGCACAAAGAGGGATGTGTGTAATCTGTGACGTCAAGGCGTACAGTAGCCGCTGGGCGAGTACAAATCAAGACTTGCATTGCTGGTGATTCTCTTCATTGCAGTATGAGAGGATGAAGGACGCACTGCCGTGCCGTACGTGTCAGGCGCAAATGAAGTTAGAGATGATAAAAACTTTCCAAAACTTCAAATAACTTCATCCACTCCACTTACAGCGCCAATGCTGTCTTATCTTACAGTATCTCATCGATCTGCAGTTATCATTGTGTACAGGTGTTCACTCTGTACACCACCGACACGCTTTTAAGTCCTCCACTCTCAGAGGGACTCCCCATCTAACTGTTTCGCTCACCTGCTCTGTTTATTGCTCTGTCCCCTGTCGGCACGCTCCCCGCTTCCCGGCGCCACCGTTCCTCCCACTCGTGCACCCCGTGTGAACCCCCCTCCCCCCCACCCCCGACTGGCTGGGGGCCCAATTTCAGTTATCACTCTTGAGCCCTCCTGTTCATCTTGCCCTCTACCTCCCCAACACGCCCCCCATCCTCCTCACATCCCACACAAACCGTTTCTCTCCATGCCGGTACGTCCGTCCTCTCCTCCTTCCCCCGCGCCCTCCCCTCCACAAGTCTACACCACTTTCCCCCTACGCCGCCCCTCCGTACCCATCGTCCCCGCCGTAGCACGCGCTCCGGACGGGCTGGCCCGTGACCTCGAGCTCGAGAAGAGATGGGCCGCCGTCAAGGACCGACTTTCCCGCCACCAGGCCTCCATGCAGAATGCCCAACCTATCTGCCCCAATCAGCGTGAATGGGTTGACGTCTACTCGGAGGTCGCAAAGTTGTTTCAAGAAAACGACGCCACGAGAAAACGACGCATTTATGTCTACGTCAGGCAGTTCGTCAAAGACCTCGTCGCGTCCCAGCGCTGCGTACTTCAAAACCTCCCCAAGACTGCTTTCTTGCTCAAGGAGTACTGCAGGATCTGGAAGGCCACCATGGCTTTTGTTAGCTACATGAAGCGCGTCCTTCACCACCTCCATCGCTTTTGGATCCCCGATAATGTCAACACCCTCAAGAACGACCCTGTCCGCCCGGTCGACAATCTCCTCATGTTCTACTGGCGCGAAGATCTTCTCTCGGAAATGCCCCAGGTCATAGAGATTGCACTTGGCTTGGTCGACCAGGACCGTCGTGGCCTTCCCGTCGACTACTCCCTCATACGAGGCGTCGTCAACACCCTCGTTGAGATTGGCGCCGCTGATGTTGTATCTCCCCGCCAGGATTCATCTGACGAGCAGGGCTTCACCACACTCCCGACTTTGCACCTCTACATTCGCGTCTTCGAGGAAGAGTTTCTTGCCCTCACCGAAACGTTTTACAAGGCGGAGGGCGAGAAGATGGTTGAGGTTGGCGACGCAACTCAGTTCACAAAAATTGTCCTCGCCCGTCTCGAGGAGGAGGCAGAACGTGGCCGCCGCTTGCTTCACCCAGATTCCGTCCCGCGTCTGTGCAAAGCCACGGAGCAGCAGCTTATCGGAAACCATCTCGCTTACTTGCAGGACAAGGCTATCGCCATGGTGAAGGAGGGGCGCGAGGACGACCTCAAACTTATTTTTACCTTGCTCAAGCGCGTCGCCGATGGCTTACCCCCCCTGCGTGCGTTTTTCGTCGGTTTCATTCGCGCCGAGGGAAGCTTGGTTGTAAACCAGCATGTCGACAAAGTCTCTGGTAAGCAAGATATGCAGAGCAATTTGGAGCTTGTGCGCGTCCTTATTAGGTTGTATCGCAAGCATGCCACTCTCATCACCCGATGTTTTGATGGCGCTCAAACAATCATGACCGCCATTGACGATGCCTTTCGCAGCTTTACGAATAGCCCCCTCGGTAATATTTGTCTTCCAAACCTGATTGCACATTATGTTGACCAAGTCTTGCGGCAGGGGGAAAAGTTTGACCGTGCAATGTGGGATACTAAGAGGGACGAAGCTGCCCCCACGGCAAAGAGAAGAAAGTTGAACGCTGACTCGGATGTCGGTGCAAAACCAAGCACGTCTGGCGCTGGTACCAGTCTGAAAACTTTACCACCGGTGGAGGTTGGTAGTGTTCCGCGTGATTCAGATATCAGCATTGACATTGAAAGAGAAAACACGGAAAGCAGTTTATTACAATACTTAGCAGAGCTGGTCCGGCTGTTCATGTACCTTGAGGAGAAGGACAAGTTTTTTGACACTCATCGCCGCCTATTTGCGAAGCGCCTGATGTCGCACCATGACGAGCACTTAGAAACATCATTCATCAGCATGATCAAGGAGCAAATGGGTCAGTTTTACACACAGCGTCTCAGTGGGATGCTACAGGACAAATTAGCCAGCAATACGATGCAGAAAGCGTTTCAGAAGTATCTTGTGGAACGGCGCGTGGAATGCAGGAAGCGAAAGGAGGAAGTCTTGGTACCCTTCACAGATGGCATCCTTGACGAGGATACCATTCCCCCGGCGGACAGTATTTTAGAAAGAGGCGGCCTTGAGGGGATGGCAGACAGGCTGCTCGGAACCAGTCTTGCCCGTGCCACTCTACCCACTCACAGCAGTGCTGACACAGGTGCAATTGTCCCATCAGATGCAAATCCCGCCATTGGGTTTTCTATGCTTCTTAACGTCGCGAACTCTCACACAGAAAAGGGCAGAGCAGAGCAGAGGGAACGAAACGTGAAGAGTATTGACGAAAACATTCTGAAGTTTGAAGAAGCTCTCGGTATTGACTTCAATGCGCATGTCCTCAATGCCTTGCACTGGCCATCAGTAGAAGTCGCGAAGCTTCGGCTCCCGCCATTGTTGCTAGCCTGCCAGGAACTGTTTTCCGACTTCTACATGCGCGACAAGGAGACGAGAAAGCTGTCATGGATCCATGCATTATCGGTTGTGAACCTTGTTGGTACTTTCAGTGGAATGGGGTACACTTTTGTTGTGTCGACGTTTCAAGCTTGCATCCTGCTGCTCTTCAATGACAGTGATCGCATACGTGTCGTAGACGCACGTAAGATGCTGAACCTGTCACTGGAGCAGTTATGTCATCACATCAAGCCGTTGCTTGTCAGCCGAAAGTGCAGAGTATTGAGGCTTGAAAGACGGCCAGCAAACGAGACCACAGAAACTTTTGCTACCGTGAACAGGCCAAATGAGAAGTCGAAAATGAACTCGACTAACATTTACCCAATACCCAATAGCGGTCGCCTGTCATTCGCTCCTCAGGTTATGCAATGTCAAGCAGTCTCGGATGATTCGGGTCGGCCTGCCACCGACGTTTTAGCTCCGAAGTCATCAGAGGCCAATACATATCATGAAGGTGGTCCCGAAAGAACTGCCGATGGCGATAGAGCGCAATCTACTGAAGCAAGGTCCATAGCAATAGGACCTGACGCCAATCAGGGAGACGGCAATGAGTCCGAGAGCTTCGTAAATACGACACACCCAGCACCCCCGGGGGCGACTGCCCCCGCACAGGTTCAGCAGGCCAAAGAGGGTACCGCAAGTGCTTCAGAGATAAATACAGGTAGCGTTGAACCGCGCGGTGAGTCTGCAAAGGAAGGCGAAAGCGACTCTCCGAAGAACACGCAAACAGAAAGGAGCCAGGCAGACGCCAGATTCATGCAAGAAGGAGATATACTACATATTAACCTCGGTTTCAAGTCAAGGCTGCACCGAGTAGTTGTTCCAGCAAGTATCCCGAAGGTGGCTAGTGCAAACACGACTACAAGCAAGAAACATGTAGTGGTTGACCGCAGCACGCGAGTAGATGCAGTATTGGTGAAGATCATGAAAACGAAAAAGGAGTTGACGCACGCCGCGTTAAATAATCTTGTGGTGGAAGCTCTTGCTCCAACGTTCTTACCGGATCCGCGGCTGATCAAAAAGAGACTGGAGCGATTGATTGAACAGGAGTATGTGGAGAGGGACAAGGATGATCCCCGTTTGTACAGATATGCATCATGAGATGCAGATGATGCACAGGATGCGACAATTAATGCGAAGCACTTGTACATATTTGAAGTGATCGAGTGAAGCCTGAGCAAAAGTAGCAAGGAAAGCTCATTAACTTTTGCAACTAATCCTCATGAAACCATGCACGGTGATCTCTGTGAAGGTACTTGAGTGCGTTTATTATGTTCGATAAAAACTATTTGTTGAGATGGACAACTGGTATGACGCCTCACCTTCGCGTGGTGCGGCCTGGCATATCAACCAGTTGCGCATAAACAGGCGTGGGATAGCCCCCATGTGAGGCACAGCAATTAGCATATGGTCACTATGACTTAGATATGTCAAAATCATCTTGGGGCAGATCATCGACTGCGAGAATCATAGCAAACCAACCAACTTCGGAATGCGGACTAAAATCGGTGGGCTCCTTATACATTGCACCCTCGAAAATCGGAAGACCCACAAGATTCTTTCTGGTGTCATCCAGATGGCCTTTGAGTATCCTCTTGACAGAGAAAGGCGTGCCGTCAGAACCGAAGTAACGCTCTATCTGGAGCAAGAGTTCGCCATCGCGGTCAGAATAAGTCCAGGAAGCGTCGACCTTATCAGGGCTTGGACCGTCGGTCCTGCCAATTGAAAGGGAGCCGTCCTCTGACAAGTAGACTGCGGATGTACAGGAGCAGGAGTCTTCGTCCTCTTCAAGCTGGTACGACTTGTTGGCGATAGCGGCTGCTGATAGAGTGCATCGCACGTTGAGGGTGTGGCGGGGGCGTGAAGGGTTGCGCGGGGAAATGGCGGAATGTGCGCGGCGAGTTGTGAGCCCTGTGAAGGTGGAGACTGGTGCGAAGGCAAGCATGACGAAGAAGAAAGGGGTTCTAGGGGCAGAGGGAGGGAAAGTGGAGGGGACGAGCTGAAGACTTCGGAAAGTGAGTTTATCGTAAACTTTACGTGGAGCTAGTTACTGGCTAGAGGTCCTCCAAATCCTGGTCCACAACATCTCACACATCTCCTCTTAGCTCTGCCCCATGAGAGTGCAGCCCCTGCCTCTGATCCGGAGATTTTTGCTACTGTATGATTATTTAGGGCTCACCTCTGCTTGCCAACCACATTGCAGAATTAGACTATGTGGCCACTTTGCGATTATCTATTGGCGTTGCCGGTACATATTCAGCCTTTGAGTCGAAGACCTGTTCTCCACCACGGAGATTCGTGACTACGTAACAGTCCAAGTACGGCAACCCGATGGATGGCTGGTGCAATGCCCCGTGGTGGAGTATCTTGAATCACACGCACCTGCTTCTTCACCACACACTCAGTACACTTCGCTCCACTTATCGTGCGTTAGATACCGTCGTTATCGCGGAAACGCTATGCGCAGCCTTACCTAACTGACCACCCCTGGTCGCCGTCGCTTCCGGTCGGCTGCCACCACATCTGCTTGGTCCTCTAGATCTCGTTTTCAATGGCAATCAGCGAATGCCAAACAGAACGGAATGATGCAGACCCCGACGATCCGGAGCATTCGCTAGCGAGCTTGCACATCTCCTCCACCCTCTCCCAGTCCGACTTGGAGTCATTCCGATGAAGGGCAATCCCGCTTCCTGACTTTTTCTTTTTCTTCTCCGTCTCGCCACACTTCACATCACACCAGCCCCCGCTCTTCGCCCGCCTCACCGTCAGCGGAATATCCCGCCCATCATGTCCCCCCGCCAAAATCCGACCCGCCACAGCCTTGATGCGCCGCCCCGCATCATGCTTGTTGGGATCCTCCGATCTTCGCCCACGATGTAGCTCCCTCAATGACCTTCGTCCGGTTCGAACATGCCGCATGGTCGACGGGCTCCCAGCCGCCGCCGCGTCGAAGCGCACTCGAGGCCCAATCGACCCCATCGTCGCCTGTGAGTTTCGCAAACTCTTCGGCGAGCATTTTTGCGCAGCAGGCCTACTCACCCGTGCTGTGCTGTCGCTAGCTTCACCAGCAGCCATGAGGCCTCCACCTCCAGCCGGCGTTTTTGCTTTTCGTCCCAACGATTTTACCCTGTTTAACATCGGCATCGTCACAGCGTCGTCTGAATTACTTAGGCTGCAGACTCGAGCCGTCAATTTCGAGGTCGGCAGCTTTAGACGCCTGGATGTCAGACGAGTTCACGTCTGGTGCTGTGCTGATGGAAAATGGTCTTCTCGATCTTGGTGCTTGCCCTGGTCGCATTAGCACGTCGCTGGACAACGGCAGTGTCCTGCCTGACTGTCAGCTTTAAATGAATTTCTGGGAGTGCACAAACCGCGATTTCTTGGTCCTCACATACATGCTTCAGTATGCGAGGGTAGTATGCGAGGGTCTTTATTTTCACGCTTCAGACGTCTAGGGATATGATTCAGTCTTTTAGTCTTTTTTTGTACTTATACGAGCGACGGATCCGTCGCTTTGGTGCACAAGGATGAACGTATGATCTTCCGCCGTACAAGAATGTCTCAGTATCCTGCAAAAAGTATTCAGTGATCGTATCATGCTCCATATCAAGACAGCAAAAGGCTCCTGCGCACTTCAAGGACACCAAATTTCCTATCATTCACAGAAATTTCATGTTCGATACGCATTTGTGCAACCTCTTAAAGTCATGCCCAACCAGTCTACCTTTTTCCCTGACTCTATGTTGAACAACACTACCCATTGACATACTGTACCGCCACCAAGGTTTGCATAATTCCTACAAAACGTTTCAAAAAGATAATGATCTCATTGAAAAGTTTCGCCCCAGCCGTTATGGATATCATACTAGTGTACAGGAATAATAATAAAAAGGGCCATTTGCGGATCTTGGGGTGACAGGTGCGGCTTTTGATGCCCCTAATAAAAAGCCAGGTCGATGCTTGTTCGGACAAACCAAGAAAAAGAAACACCCATTTTCCTCATGAAGATATTCGTAGTTTATTGGTTCTAGTCGGTCACGAGACATCGGTTAAGAGGGGACACACAAAGGCTACGCAGACATCGGTTAAGAGGGGACACACAAAGGCTACGCAAACCATTAAACCGAACTGGAAAACATAAAGAAAACATAAAGAGAGAAAAAGACATGATGAGAAAGGAAACTACCAAGAGGGCGGCGCAGCCGGGGCTGGGCGGGCAAGAGAAATAGACATGGCCAGGAGAGGGGGGCTGGCAAGAGGCTCACGATGGCGCCATAAGTACCACGGAGCAGCGAGACTGCGAGGTGAGGTACGCTCGGTTGGCTGGTAGTAATTACAGCCACTCGCTATTCTCCGGGGAGTTTCACCCCTATACACGCTAGCGTGTACAGAGACGCGAAGGGGGCAAATAAAAGCGGTAGCGGATGCACGGAGAGCGCTAGACATGCGGTAGCATGTGCGCAAAGAACCACTCCGAAGCGGCGGTGACAATAATACGGCTATCGAAGTAAACAGAAAACTAGTTCTGCGATGCCCAATCCAGACGGGTCATAATCCATTCGCGGCTGAACTGGAGGACGAGCAGCTCGTTGAAGCCACCGATACGAGCGCTGTGCGATGCGAAGTAGCAGCCAGGCGGCGGAGCGCCGTTGACGAGGGCAACGGCAGTCTCAACCGTAATGCCGAGATCGGCAGTGCCGACCTTTTGTCCACGTCTGAGATTGAAGAAACCAAGATTGGCGGGACGCAAGGAGCGCCATTTCGAAAGCAATTCGTTTGGCGAAGCAGTAGAGGTCCAGACGGGGTTGGTTGGAAGTGAAAGGCGTAATGGTCGAGACCGAGATTTGCCTTTCCGGTGAGTGATCACCGCACTCACTCTCTCCGCCGAAATGGTGATGTCGCTGTTTTTCAGATAGGCGACAGACACCGACCGGCACTGAAAGACAAATGCAAACACCACTGTAGCACAATAGCCCACCGTGTCTACGTCCTCGGCAGATACCCCACATTCCACAATCTGCCTCATGAGGGCTGCCGGGAGCCCAAACCGGGCCATATGAACGACGCCTTGAAGATCATCCTTGTTAGCATATGCGCGGACAAGAGCCGATACCATGGGAGTATGAGTTGAGGAATCGAAGTTGAGGAGCTCGTGGTATCGAGATACGGCCGTAACGTACTGCGCCACTGACGTCGGACCAACCCTGCCTTCGAGATGCAAGTAGCCGATATATGCTAGAACATCCCCCTCCTTCACCCCAAGCCGCGGTCGTCCATCTTCGTCGCAGAAGGTAAACCATTTCTTGATCTGGCTGGAGCGATTGGCCCAAGTCCCGTCACTCCATCCGTAGTTGGCAAGCAAGTCTGCTGCGGCCTGGGCGCTTCCCGTTGCACCATCATCCCCACATCGGCTCAATACTGCATCCCGTATCCCCTCCTGCCACACCACCCTCACGCCATTGTTGCGAGAACGACGGACCAGTCGGCGTTGAGATTTTTCGAACTCCGCAGTAGAGAAAAGTCGGCGCCTTGTGGATGGAGGACCTTGACCGTAGTGGCGTGACGCACCAACTGCGGATGCCAGGCTTGCGCTGGCCAGTGGGGAGCCACCAGGACGCCCTTCCCACCATCCGCTATGACCTTGCGAATGACCAGAGGGAGCATGTCGAAGGGAGGATTCCACAGGCGCGCCCTCCCGTCTCCCCAGTCCTCCAGCATCTGCGTCGCCAGGTATTTCCGTCGCGCGACTGCCGTCTCTCCGAGGGGGCGATGAGCGAACACCACCGAGTCCACCTGGTACTCGTCCTGGATCGACTGCAGCAGCTGGTCCGTCGCCTGCACGTCGCCAGGATCCCAGGTCCGGGAGAGAGCGTCGGTTAACCGGTTGACCGCGGACGGCAACCACCGGGCTTCGATCCGCACCCCCAGGGTTTGCAGCATAACCTGAAGCCGGCGTAGCTCCGCCATCATTGGCTTGGAAGCCGACACCATGGCGTTCAAAATGAAGCAGACTGCCTGGTTGTCCTCGTGCAGCAAGAGGCGCTGAACGTCCGGTCGGCCGACGTACGCGGCAAAGTGCCTCTGTAATAGCAGACGAACCGCCCGAAGTTCCCTCAAAGTGATCGAATGCGCGCGATCGGCTGCCGTCCAAAAGCCTTGACCCTCCCACAAACCCCGCGAGCCCGCCAGCACTTGCGATCCCAGTGTCCCTCCGTACCCCACGTCGGCAGCATCGGAGTGCAACGTGAGGTCGGGCGCCAGCCTGACCAATTCCCGTCCTTCTCCCGGTGTCAGCGAACGCCAGTGGCGCAAGTCGCGAAGCGATTGTCGGAAAAGACGCACCTTTTGAAACTGGTCGTGGAACCTTGTTGCGTCCCCGTGTCCACGGGGCACACGGGGCACACGGGGCACACGGAGCACACGGTGCACAAGGGCCACACGTTGCACACGGGCCACACGGTGCATATGCGCCTGGCAGCGTCTGGGCCTCGCAAGCTCGGCCCCCGACGCAGCCGGCCGACTTTGCCCTCGCTCCTCGCGCTCCACCAGGAGCCCGGACAGTGCCATGTCGAAGTAGAGGCTCCTTATGTAGAACCGCGAGAGCGGAATGGCCAGTGTCATCGACACAGCCACTCCGCAAAAATGCCGCAGCTTTTTCAACGATACCCACCGGCGGTTCCTTTGCGCGGACAAGAGGAGCTGCTTGGCTAGCAGGCGAAGGCGGGCTACCTTGCTGTCGGACGCGAACACCCTCATCGCGACAGTATCCACCACACAACCCAAATGCTCCAGCGTAGTCGTCCCTTCCCAGCATCCCTTCCCCGGGTGTCTGACGAGCCCCAACCTTGCGAACAGCCTTGACAGTCTCCTCCCGGCGCGCGCGCAGTCCTGTCTTGTCGATATCCTCCCCAGCGGCGACGGCGCACACGCGAAGTCGTCAATGTACGGCAGGATGCGGTACCCGAGGCGCTCCCGCAAGTGCTTCACCAAAGGACGGAGCAGCTTGGTGAACCACAGAACAGAGCGCCCCCAGCCGAACGGTAGCGCGATGCAACGGTAGTACCGACCGTTGTATCGGAAGAGGAAAAAGTCTCTCATGCGTGGATGGAGATAAAAGTGGCGGTACCCACTTTTGGTGTCCCAAGACATCAGCACATCTCCCTCCTGCAGTTGACACGCGAAGGACTGTAAGGTCTCCATCTTGACTGACCCCTTCGGCCAGTGCTTGCTCTGCCGCTTGAAATTAATTACAAATCTTCCTTTGCGGTCCTCGCCCTCGCCTTGCCAGACCGTGAAGGCTGACGAGATCATCCTGCCCCCTCTGGCAAGGGCCTCGGCCTCCTCAAACCCTACCTCCTCGTACACCCCCTCCCTGCAACCCCTTGCCAGTTCCTCCGTGGCAAACTGCCTGTCCTCCGCCGTCTGAGGGAGCTCGCTGAGTACAGTACCGTCCTCGAAGGGCACCGTCGGCATGTCCAATACACCGTACCGGATCTGACGGGCGATGTACTCGTTGACTCCTAACTCCGAACGCCAAACGTCCGCCCTAAGAGCCGTCCCCCGCCACAAAGGTGCTCCCCCCTTACCCTTTGTAGCTTTTCCATCTCTTTTTAGGCACATTACTCCGGGCTGGACCCGTCCCCGGCGGAGGGTCCAGCGTTCTTCATGCCAGTAGTCTTCTCTAACCTGGCCTTGGCAATCATCTTCGCAGCCTGAATCTCCAACTTAGAAGTGAGCGCCTCGCGGGCAGACTTGTACGAATCTGAGAACACAGCGTCGTGCCCCTGTTCCACGAGGAATGCCATCTGGCGAGCTGCCTCGACTCCTTGGTCGGTGATGTCCCTGTAATACTGCGCGCGCATAGACAGTACCTCGAGGGCGGCACGGATAGACTTTTCAGCCAAGGCCAGTTTCCTTGCCATGCTTGGAACGTCCTCGCTCTGATTCTTAGCAACTATGAGAGCAGAGAGTCCTATTTCGGTCCAAACGCCAGCAGCGTTTACGTATTCCCATTCCTTGGCCGAGCGTCGGTCCCTGGACCGCAACTCGGAGACGAAAGCGTCAGCAGCAGGCTTGAAGTAACCCATGTGAGTGACGGGTACATGGGGGCCACGCTCAAACACGCTTCCTTCTCCAACCAACTTGAGGGAGCTAAGCTCCGCGACAACATCTCCATAATCCCGACGCGCGGGCACGGCACTCTCCCACGCCGCTCGCACAGCTAGCGCAGGGCGCGCCCAAGCTGCGACAGCCGGAAGCGTGGGGGCCGGGGGCACCGGCGCGCCGATGTCGGCGGGTTGTTCGGGTTGTACGCTCATAGCTCCAAAGTACTCTGTTTGTACTTACTAGAATATGTCACCGCCTAGGCTGAGGGGAATTTCTCAAGCAAGAGAAATAGACATGGCCAGGAGAGGGGGGCTGGCAAGAGGCTCACGATGGCGCCATAAGTACCACGGAGCAGCGAGACTGCGAGGTGAGGTACGCTCTGTTGGCTGATAGTAATTACAGCCACTCGCTATTCTCCGGGGAGTTTCACCCCTATACACGCTAGCGTGTACAGAGACGCGTACAGAACATCAAATGACACAAAATGAGTTTCTCATACCGGAAATCTGGTCTGAAATCCAAAGGAGAAGTATCTCGGATTCCAGGGATTAAACATGCAGAGATAGTGCTGATGCCTGCCTAACAATCTGTGTTGGCAACTCGACAGACAAC